ACTCACGTGGAAAGTGACAGCCGATGAAAGAGCTGCCGCAGGGCTCGTAGAAAGTCCAAACTTGTCGATAGATTCGTTAGAGCAAACCGGGACTCCCTCGTTCTCGCGCGCGGAACTGTCGGGCTGGCTGTTGAGCCGCACAACCGTGTTTTCCGCCCCCGAACTTCCGGCCAAATTGAATCACGCGGAATTTCGCGGTAACAATCTTCTGTTTGACTTCGAGCGACCGGTTGATTCACTTCGTGCTCGGGATCCGTGCGTCTTCATATAGCCGTCGGGCCAGACGATCTTGCGCCCCTCATTGAACGGGTTTGAGCTTCTTCAGCGTAACTCGATCACGACGAAAAGATCGTGTTGTAGGGATCGTACCAATGCCAAGGGATAACTTTTTGTTAGTAGATTTTCGCGGAGTGTACCATTGGTACGATTTTTCAGGGAGATAATCGAATTAAATAGGGTTTCATGCGCGAGATATTTATTTCTAATAAAAGGCGGAGAAAATACGTATATCGTGATATTTCAATGTATCGTAACGTTCGTGTAACATAATTACGCGATATATAAGCATTATTAGATTATGTCAGATTATCTTTTTTGAGGTAAAAAAATTAAAATTTTTGTAAATTAAGAAGAAAATGAAAACAGTGAAATTTATGCAACGCATTTATGATGTTATAAATTATAATTGGTGAATATATTATTCATAATTTTACGGCGCGTATTTTTGGATTAAATTAGCTTAGGCTTTTAGCCAAACGTTCTGGTTCTCGCCAGACTGTCCTCTATTTAAAGTGTCCACGTTGATTTTTCAAATTTGTCAGACTTTCATATTTACAGTCCGCAATTAAAAATTTACATATGTCCCATTTAAGTTGTGCCGCTCTGTTTTTTTAACTTCAATTTTATGCGGTATATCTGAGATTTTGTTATTGTTATAGCTTATTCGAAATGATGCAATTCCCCGGGCATATTTTCTGCATACATACATACATATATAAAGCGATTTCTCTATCGCGAAACGTTCTGCGAATCGCAAATTCGAGTGAAGTAGGAACTTTAGAGAAAATAGAAAGCTGGTTCTAAGATATTTGAAGGAAACCGTTTGATTTGACAGAAATATTTGATGTTCAAGAAAATGGATATGTAATATTTTGTAACAATTTCGTTGTGCGCCTTTGTTAATTACAATATATTGATCGATCATTGTTTTATGCGCCGGTGTTTTTGTTTTTGTATCCATACTGACCGACGATTAATTTAGCTAAAGCGAAATTGTTGCGCCCGTTATTTATTTGCTTGCTTTGCAATATAAAACGCTTCGGTTAGAACAAAAATCGTAAATTAAATGAATATTTGTTCTTGTGTTTGCAGGTACACAATAGTGCTGCCGCGTACCAATTTTCCGAATAGAAATGAGTTGAGGATCGACTACGATGTTGAGTCGTCTTTCGGCCGTGGTGGCCTCCATTTTGGTTCACCAAATACATTTCTTATGCATCGCCAATACGATAGGTAAATTATAAAGTTTTATAATATTCACATAATAAAATCTTATAATTTTTATCATAAAATCATAATTGTTTTGTCCTATAATATGTTTAGTAACATGAGAATAAAAGTAATTAAAAATAAGCATATGGTGAGAATAAAAGAATTTGACATAGATACACTGAGAGAAAACAAAATAGTTCTGGCAACTACATTTATGACAATTATGAAATTTAAGTAGCTGCAGCTAGCTTTTTTAATAAGTACGAAAGTAGTATTGAACACGATAAAAATATAGTCGCGGTAACAATATATAAATTATTAATTGATAAAATAGCGACTCAACTATAATTACATTAGACTTTATACAAACAGAATATGGTATTAAATTTTTCTAGTTTAGACAAATATTTTTGTGAAATAATATCACAATATCATTGAGATAAATTTAAAAAATACATATTGACAACAACGATATAACAACAATACGTTAGTTTATCTATTTATCATAAATGATTTAGTATAAATGATTAATGTTACTATATTATATTTTTTTGGTTCATATAACTTGTTGATCTTATTACAACTTTATTATATACACTAGGCGCTATTTGTGACGATATTTCTAGTTGCTGATACGATTTTTTTCCTCGAGTGTATATATTTCTGTACGAAATTTCTGTATATATATATATATATATATATATATATATATATAATACTAATAA